ATTTACATACATATACATACATATATACACATATATATATACACATACATACATACATACATACATACACTGATGAAAAAACAAATAGACAAACCATGCAGATTCACGCAGAGATACATATGCATTTGCATATGCATCTATCTATTTGTGTGTGTGTCTATCTATCTATCTATCTGTCTATCCATTTATCTATCTGGTTGTCTTATCTATCTAGCTGTCTAACCTATCTATCTGAGAACCATGGACACCTATCTATCTAAGAACATATGCGCATATGTATTTAGACATGCAGACATACATACCATCTCCTGCAGCTTCATGATTACTTTTCGGTGCGTTGCTTCCGCAGTCCGTCCTTCACTACTTCTGTTCTGTCTCTGCACCCCTTCCGCGGCCCCTACTCGCACAGCAACACACGGCACACTCACATCAACAACCTCTCGTGAACATTGCAAGCCAGATTAATTCAACCACTTTCACTACAATTTCCTTGTCTTGCAAGATAACCTAAATCATCAGGGAAACTTCAATATGCGATGTTTCAAGCACGGAATTGTTCGTACAACTCTGAATGCTTGAATTGTCCTTGGTTGGACAATGAACTCGAATGTTGCGCGGATGAACAGTTTGATGGTTTATTGATTGGAAGTTTCATGTCTTTGTGGCTCTCAAGGCCCAAGCGCGCCAACTTCTCTTTAGGTAAAGGTGTAGCGGACTGCGAGCCCATGGGTTGATAAACGAGGGCTGGCAGTGACACAGTTCGCAGATTTCATTCACGTGGTGCCCAAGACAACTTCAAGTGGGTTCGGTGCACAAACAATAGTTCGTCCAAGCGGAAACCGAACGAATATTTGGACAGGCCTTTAAAGGAGCTTGAAGTGAGACTTATGAGGAACGCGAGTCCTAGCTTGCGTGGGTCGACATCTCTGGCGGGTACCCTACTGCTAGCCAGATGGAAACGAAAACATGAAGGAAACAAGGGTGGGGTTCGCATTAGCATGAAAAGGAGGTTTTGTTCAGAGGCTTTTGAGTTTTAGTTTTAGTAAAGTACCTACTACTGACATGCGGACGCTAACAGGGCTAACATGACGCAGGGGTATAGATCGATGCATTAGTTGATCGTGATGGCATGATTTGAGCAAAAGCGCGGATTGTCGAACTGTTTACGGGGCCTCTGCATCTGGTACATAGTAAACCTTAACCCGGTAGATAGGAAGTCTTAACACTTGTCTATGGTTGAAATGCAGGTTTGCTGAAGAAGATTTCGTTGTATCGCAGAAACAGCACAAACATACGCACACATAGACAGTGTTTATATGTACGCATATACAAAAAATACTCCTTCACTAAGCTTTCAGTTTGGCGCGACGGGAGGGCCAAGTCGCTTGAGCATGAGGAACGACGTGCTGAAGGATCCCGAGTCGGGCCTTTCGCAAGCAGTTCCCCGTCTTAGTTGTGATTCGGAAGTCGCGAGTTCCTTAGGGGGTCTTGAAGGGGTGTATACTGTAGACTGCTCCGTAGGGATTGCAGGATGTACGCTCAAAATCCAAAGACCACCGACAATTGACCTGTCCAGCAATCGGGGTGTATGCACGAGCCGATATGCAGAAACTTCCCCGATGCACAAAGGATATCGATGCCAGTGTGCTCTACTTTGGTACGCTTCCGGCCACTGAGCTGAAAGGGGTGCAGGCTTCTCGAATCTCGGTGCTGGCAGCCTCTTTTTGTTTGTGTCGAATCGTGGAGTGACTTTCGGGTTCAACACAAGACATGCCAGGATTGCTCAACAAGGACTAAATGCCACCTAAACGGGGCATAATTTCGAGGGACGCTCCAGGTTGCGGCCTTGATTGGGTGGGGACGACCAGACGAGCTTTGCATGATTTCTGGGCTGCGCTATATGTAGAAAGTGTGGAGCGCCTGTTCTTGTAGAGGTATGTTATGCAGGTCAAAATTTGGCATAGCTATCGGGGCTTTTTGCGAAAGAAAGCATGACAAGGATTAGGTTTCATTTTTTCTTTGCTCGCTTGCATGTAGCACTGGAGGAGACGATGTTGAGCCTCTTCATGAGCATCTGCGGTGGTGTGAGTTGGGAGAACGTCCTGGCACCCCTGAAGAGTATGTCCGTGATTTGGGTCCTGCTCTACCTGTTCTACATAGCCTTCACTTATTTCGCAGTAATGTTGCTTGCCAGCAGGTGCCAGTGGGATTGGATCCTTTGATGACAGAATCGCTTGTTTGACCATGCCTTGAATGTGCTGAGAGCATATTGAACTCTAGCCGAGGAACGTGGTAACTGCGGCTCCTTGGACAGCAACTTTCGTTAGACTCCCTCGAAACTCAGGCCGATGTCTCGCCTCGTGGTTTCTCGAGTCCGGATGCTGCATCTTCAAGCAAGCTCGTCTCTCCGCCTTCTTGTGCTACCTACCTTTCCCCTGCAGAAAATTCAGAAACTCCCAGATCGTTACAAGTACGATGGCCAGACAGGCAATACATGAGTGCCTTCATCAACTTCTCTTTCTGAGGTCACCTTTTGCTGTCGATCCGGAGGCAGTACACATGAGGAAGAACTCCTTCTCTTTCTGTGGTCACTAGAGGTCTTTTGCCAGAGCGCCATTGACGGGGCCCAGAACGACCACGCATCGAAGGTGCATGCGATCCTGTCGAACAAGGAGGTCCCTCGCCTGTTCAAGCCGTGGTGCCAACGTCTGAAAATCACGGAACGTGTGCGCCGACGAACAAGAATCGCTCTCCTTCTTGGAAGGAGCATCTGGGAAAGATCCGGGCTTTGTTCTCCCAGTTCGGAGCAGAAGCAGCTCGGTTCTTGAAGATTCTCTCTGAAAAAGCCTAGAGAGTCGTCTAGAGGCTTCGAGAGCTCTGCACCTTCACAGCTGAAGGACGGCGTCATCACCTTCGACCTCTTCCGGGAAAAGATCAAAAGTCCAGAGGTTGGGGCTGTGCTGTTTGCTGTTTCCCGGAGCAGTTTCTGGCCATGGGCGTGTAGGGCCTGAACTGTTTCGATTGAGACAGGTGCGTCACTATTTCCAAACGCTGGGTTTAGATGTATGGGCCGCCCGGATGCATCAAGACCTTCATGTTTTCCAATGCATGTACAAATAGTGCACTGTGAAACAGTCGCAAGAACTGTGGGTCTAGGGCCAGCGAAGTGTTTTCCTGGTCGCAAGGATGCGTGGTCCTTCTTCAAGCTGCTGGATGAGGATGCCGGAGGGGCCGTGGAGATCGAGGAGTGCCCCAGCTTACTACCGGAGTTGCCAGAGGCTCCTTGAAGGCCCACCTCGCACAGCAGGATCGGGGGATCGGATGGGTTGCATATCGCCTAGCATTTAGGTTCCGACATTTGTTGCCAGATTCTGCAGCCATCGCAGCCTGCAGAAAGACACATCGGTACAAGCGAGGGATGGACACCCTCCCTTGCAGTGCAAGCTATGAGAAACTCGCAGGGTTACTTCGTAAAAGCATTGCTCGACAAAGGTGTAGACGTAGAGAAGCGGGTTCATGCAGAACAAGTACGAGGGAACGCCGTGATAGCCTCAAGTAGGGAAAAACAGACAGGTAACGTAAGTAGGGCAGCACCGGCAATATGCTAATCCGGCATGCACACCGTCTATGGCCGAGCTTAGTTAAAGTCCTGCAAAGCAGGGACATGCAGAGTTCAGCCGCCTCACTGGAAGCCAAGGTTCCTGATGGGCTGCTTACTGTTGCGTGGGCAGGCCACGGCTATGGATGTTGGAAAGCCCCTGCTCTGCAAGTGGCAATTGGCGTTTTGTCCCCGTGAAGATGGAAGTCCATGGAAGCCGCACGAGAACTTAAGCAGAGCCAAGGATCATCAATGACCAGCAGTGGCTGATTCGAAACCAGGGCAGCTTACCTGTACGCCGTAGCAGACGTAGCTTGAGATGCGCTTTCGCAAGTCGAGCAGCCTTGTGAGGGGCCCCTTCAAGCCTTGTGAGATAGCAGCCAAGAGTTCGGGGCCTCTCGAGCCCGATTCTTGAAAAACTCAGCCGACTGAAGGCAAGTTCCACGCTTACATGGAGGTCGAGCCGCTTGGCTCCACAAGGCTCCAGCCATACGTATCAGTAGTTTGATATGTATATATATATACATATATATATATATAGAGAGAGGCGCGCACAGACGCACGCACATACAGACATACAGACAGATATACATACATACATACATACATACATACATACATACATGCTGAATGCATGCATGCATGCCATGCCATGCTATGCCATGCATCCATCCATCCACCCATCCATGCATGCATGCATGCATGCATGCATTCATACATACTTACACACACACATACACAGGCAGACAGGCAGACAAACAGATGGACGGATGGATCGTTAGATCGATGGGCCGTTGGATCGATAGATAGACAGATAGTTAGATAGGTAGATAGATAGATAGGTAGATTCGAAAGATAGTTAGATCGACAGATCGACGGATACATCGATAGTTAGATAGATATGTAGATCGATAGATCGACAGACCGATAGATCGACAGTTATATATGTATATGTATGTGTATGTGTATGTGTATGTGTATATGTATATGTATATGTATATGTATATGTATATGTATATGTATATGTATATGTATATGTATATGTATGTACATACAGATAGATATAGCGATAGAGATTTGTGCAGTCGATCGATGGATGGATGGATGGATGGATGGATAGAGCTAGATGCTTCTGCAGGAGCAGGCATGCCAACCAAAGCGAGCGCTTTGGACCTGGGCAAAGAAGCAGCGATTCGGTCAGTTCGGCAGAGCCCAGGCTTCGGCAGCTGAAAGAGCAAGTGTCGATCCTGACTGGCACCTGGGACCGTTTCGTGCTCCCCTTGCCTGCGTTCGTTCGGAATCCGGGATTGAAGGATATTCCATTGCACTGCGGTTCTGCGGTGAATTTTCGAGATCGCAGGCCTACAGGTGTCTAGCTAGTGTGCTGCAAGCGGCGAGGGTGGCCTTAGCAATGAAGTGCAGGTCGTACCTTGAACCAGTGAGGAGTCGCGGCTCCATCCCCAACTCACCGGCAGAGGTGTCAATCTTTCGTCTGATGAGCACATAGGGCTCATCTTCGGGCAGAAGGAAGATCTGAGCCTTGTCCAAGAATGTCAGGATTTCCATAGGTTCGCGGGGAAGACCTGTTCCCTGCTGCTCTCAAGTCCTTTGGTGTTGCCTGTGATTCGCACATGCCGCAGCGGGCCGCGGAGTCTTGATTCTCTTCAGGAGACCATGTTTGTGAGCATCCGAAACCTTGGGTCACTTACCGCCCTCTCGCCTCAGGAGTCCCGGCCATGCGAGCCATGAGAGCCCAAGCCACATGAGCTTCGGAGTTGAGCCGAGGCCGTCCGATGCCCCGTTTTGAAAATGAGGAGGAGATTAGTAGTATGGAGCTGTGGATGTAAAGACCTGGTCTGAGCCCCCACGTCGCATGGAACATCTACAAAGTTCTCGCCTCTTAGCTCGAGCTCCTGATCTCCGCACCTCGTCTGTATCAAGATGCTAGCGAACTTGCTAGCGAAGTTCCGATCCAGCTCCGGCCGTTTTGGTGCTGGCCCTTTTCATGCGCTGGAAGGCCGCAGATTTTTAGGTGTCTTCCGTGCGCGAGTTTCGTTGAAATGACGGCTCTCGCAGGGGATATTGAGTCGCAGAGCTGCTGGAAGCTGCAAAGATCACGGCACGGCAAGACAGTGGCCACGTCACCATCATCTAGGGGCCCCCGAACCTAACGCTGTCTGCAGTCCAGACGCCCTTTCCACTTCCTGTATCCAAGCCCTCAGCTGGAAGTTGTCTTTGATGCAGGGGTAAATCGATGATCTGGAAAACCTGGTTACTGCTGATGACGCACGCCATGATATCATGCGGCAAGAGTTCGGGTAGTAATCATGTGGACCTTTGGGGGAACTGCGTTTAAGATTATCTCGGAAAAATGGCTTTCTGGTATGCCTGCCACGCTTTCGCTGTTCCCTGAGGGATGCTGAGGACTTATGGTTCTTTGAAGGTGTGTTAGTGTAGGTTAAAAGCAAAAATTGCCTGGGGCTTTCAGGCAGGCTTGACAGGTGAATCTTCTGCAGCTTTCAGGCAGTCCTCACAGTTCCGAAATGTGAACTTGTCGAAAGGGCTGCAGGACTCCGGTCGGGCTTTTGGCCGAGGGGTGAACAAACCACCTCCCTTGCCTTGGGCCTGCGCCTGCGTTCGGGACTCCAAGAAGTGGGCCTTTGAGGCCAAACGTTGCCAAGTGCTTCATGCTACAGTGCTACAGAGGAAGTCCACTGGTCCCGAACAGTTGGGTTGAAGTTCTCTGAGCGCTCAGTCCTACCACCGGATTGCCCCCACACATGGCTGACCAGATGTAGACTGAGAAAGACCCGGCCCGAAATCCAAAGGCTCGTGCAGCTTTGGCAAACTTGGCAATCCGGCCTCCGTGAATGTAAATGTGCAGTGCCACCAAGGATTGATGCAGCGGAGCTTCGGGGTTTAGAACTTCATCTATTTGCAGTAGCTTCGTTGTTGGGATCGTGTCAGTGTGCAGCTGTCCCAATGAAGCGCAGCTGCTTCTCGGATGTTACGGCTTCGGGGCGGTTGCCGGCAAGTCGGACCGATCGCTTCAAGTTTCGCCTCTGCCATGTTGACGTTCCGAGCACCGAAAAAGCCGTGTGCGGGTTTTGGGAGGTGCAATCAAGTGTTCAAAATAGAAACCTTGACGGATGCCAGTAATTCGTTCGGGTTTTCTTGTGCTCTTGGAGCAAACTCTCCACCATTGCGTGGCCGCGTGTTCGACATAGCAAAGCGCACGGCGCCTGGACACAGCCTCCACCAGACAAGCGGATAATCACACCTTTCTCGGATGCACCGGAAAAACCTCTCAGCATGCATTTGTCAATGGTCTCCTCACGTAGTCAACCCGGCCGGTTGGCCATTAGGGGCACATCTCTGCTCCCTGAATCCTGTCTGTGGCATGGAGCCCCCCGGAAAATTTGTTTTCAGCTTGCTAACACCCAGGCAAAACATGGAAGACCTACCCGTTGCTTGGCCGTTGCTTGGGGTAGCCGCGTAACATGTCATCCCGCTCCCTGTACGTGGCAATGCTCAGCTCCGGCCTTGACTCATAACCGTCGTAACATCGAGATTGCGTGCTGTGATCCATCCAACGAGTGGAGACTCGGCGTCCAAGGTACCGCTACCAGCCGCACAGCCGGGAGTCCGTGCCGTGCCGCCTCGCTCCGCACCATGCGCGCCTGGACCACCGGGCACACTACCCCTTCGAGGTGACCAGTCGCCCAGCAAGCAACAGAGATTCAATGTACTGGAAAGCAAAAGGAACGGCGATGTGCTGCGTGTGGGTGTGTGAGTTAGCTCCATGTTGGGAGCAGTACTTGCCCCACGGCCAACCCAAGGCAAGAGTGACCTTACCTCTGCTTACAGCCTGACAGACCACAATCCGTACTGTCTCTGGGCTTCTATCTTGTGCCACGTGTCTTGGGCTGAGTCGCGAATGGCACGTTTACGCCGGTTAAAAAAACTTCTGATGTTTTGTGTCAGTTTGACGTTTGGAGGGGTTTTGTGGTCTGAAGCTCCGCATTGAATAGGCCCCATTGTCGAATTCTCAAACTGATTCTCCTGCCAAGTCGAGCGTTTAATGCTCATGACCTCCTGAAGCTTTTAACAGCAGTATCCGGCACTGGGTCTTTTGAGCATCCCATGGCCAGCTGTCTATTTCTGAAGAGTCTTCAGCTTCATGTCACGAGGCTATAGCCCTGTGAGCTTCGCTCACCGCGTCGCCCAGCGCTTGTTGGAGGGCGAGGCCCCGTCACTGCGGCTGGCGATGCGAGTCTAAGCCTTTGCTTCAACCCACAGAGGCACAAACCCAGCTGGTAGTGCAAGCCAGAGCTGCTGGAGCCAAAACTTGCTCCGACCCAACAGCCATGGCAATCGGGATCGTGGATGAGTTGCAAAGCTTCCCGAGTCCAAGCCGCTCCATTTTGGAGGAGTCCGTCCTGGGCCTGTTTGCATCGCATCTTGCTTTGTTTGGGTGGGCATGGGACGTTGTACTTGTTGGTTTACGATCAAAGACATGTGGGATGCTTGATGACGCTGCTTGGCATGTCTGTGGCAAGTTCTGAGGAACCCGTTCCCAGAGAAAGCTCCAGCTTTCGTCCGAGCCCGCGCCCCAGCCCTGCGAATTGTGGAGGCTTCTCCCAGGCCCCAGTGCGACTGAGGTCACGGGCTACGGGCTGAGCCCTTGCAGCATCGCCCACCACCAGAAGACAGGGCGCCCCGCCTGCAGTGGAACCTGGGCGTTCTGCTTGATCGCAACCAAAGAATGACACAACACCCTTACAGAGGATGAGCGCACAGAGGATCCTTACGAGTGTTCCAGCTGTCCAGCCCGTCATGCAGTTGGTTTCATTCTGCCAGTCGTGTCTCTGCTTGCAAAGGGCAGCGTGTGATAGCCTTTGGGGTGCGGCAGACAATGCCAGATTGCCAGTGGCTGCCAGTGTCTGCGAGCTGAGCCATCTTGTCCCGTGTCGTTCTCAGGAACTGGTGGCATGCACAGCAGTTGTGCGAGGTCGTGCCTCCGCGACCTTTGCCTGCTATTGGTGGTGGATCTTGCTGACTTCAAACCCCTTAACTTAGCCACCTGAAGAGGAGGTTCCTAGGTTCCGTGCACACGCGTACGAAGGCCCGAGCAGAAACATAGTTGCGCGATGTGCTTGGACCCAGGTCAAACTGACCCCAGCATTTGGCAGCGGTGGGTTCCACACGCCGAGTGCTTCCATCCAGAGCATGACACTAGTCCTGCAACCTTAGAGCCAACTTGGCCTCTTCTCTTCTGCACTGTCAGGAACACATGTCAGCAACACATGGGAGTCAAAGCAACAGGAGATCAGGAAGAGATCTGACCGAACACTGCGGGCGATTCTTTTCCGCAGCTTTGCTCGCAGCATCTTGCAGCGCAGTTCACCCCTGTGCGCGTGCCCAGTAGATCCTAGCCCTAGCCATGCAGCTGAACTTCAAGCCCCGAGGCTGAATTGATTGTCCCAGCTCGCTGTTGCGGTTTAAAGACTAAGTTTCAGGCCACGGCGCCCGAAGACCAGGGCTGCATTCCTGGACAGTAAGGTTTGCCCCTTGACCGTCTTGGGCCGGTGTTCTTCACGGACAAAACCCATCAAGAGTCTTTGGGGTCATTTTGGGCCTTCGTCGAGGCTTCCGCTTCCTCGGAGTCTCTCGCTTCCTGAGGCTCTGCCTCGCCGCGGCGGCGGCGGCCATGGCGGCGCGCCTGGCTCCCTGGGCCTTCGCGCCGGCGGGCTTTCAGGTGCGTGTATGCCGCTGGCGGGGGAAAGGAAGGGATGCTGTTCGGGAAGTAGTGAGCCGCCGCCGGATGGCACATCGCAGGGCAGAAGGCCTTCGTGGTGCATCCGCCCTCAACTGCAGTTGGTTCAAATTGTCCTCGCCTGCACGACGACAAGCAGGTGCAGTCGCACTCCACGTCGCGCCCATCTCTCGCGGCCCCTTGGTAGCAGTCGATTTCAGGTCGAGAATTGAGAATGTTGCACTGGGTCTCGTCCAGGTTCACGAGACAGGACTTCCCTCTTCCCTCCAATACAGTATCGGTACTCCTCGTACAGCAGCCTATATCCGCTTCGCTGTCATCACTTCGCTCTGCTGGCCACCGGCTATCGAGGCATCTGCACCCTCACAAGGTCAGGCAGGAAGCTTTGCCATGGCGGGCGCTGCAGCGGCCGGTAGCTCGGCTTGGCACCACGAGTTATATATTGATGTTGCATTATTTCCACAGCAAATAAAGCAGTCATGATATTAATGAAATTATCGCAATCATGATGACAATGGACATAGTATTGTGAAGAAGGCGTATCGAAATTAGCAACATGCAGATGGCAAGTACACCCAACAAGGGCAGTCAAAAGTGAGCGTCCGGACAATGATTGGGTGTAGCATGCATCGTCTACGCCGAAGCAGAGGGGCTAATAGGTTGGCCGTCGAACTTAAGTATGAGGGCGAATGACATGACACGAAATCTCCTGGAGCTGGAGTTCGCTGAAGCTGCTGCCTGTGATTTTTCGCTAAAGCCGTGACTGTAGAAGTGAATTCAGAGCTTCCATTTGTACTTTGGAAGTCCTGTTGAGAGAAGCGAAGGTTGACAAATATTCAGGTCATTGTATTCTATGTGTGGCTAGGCTAGGTCGCCATCTTTCTTGCAGGTCTCTTGGACTGTTGCAGGTGTATCGCTGTACAGTAGTTGTAGTAGTGGCAGTCGAGGGCATTGTAGAAAGCAATGATCGTAACAGTCATGGTAGTAACAACTAGAGTCATCGCCATAGGAAATTCCATCACGTGGATTGCTTGCCATCATCGGCAGCAACAGGGATGCGATTGCGTGCAGAACTGCCCAAGCAGAACAGCCACCAAGATGCCGGAAAGTTGTAAGGAAATGTAATGTAACTTAATGTAATGTAAAGTAATGTTGGGACTGGGATGTGGGATGTAACGGAATGGAGCAGGACGCAATGCTATGCAATGCAATGTAATGTATTGAAGTGTGATCTGATGTTCTGTTATGCGTGTTTTGTTTTGTTTTCTTCTCCTCTCTACTGTTTCTGCTCGGCTCGGCTCTGCCCTGCTCTGAAGTGCCGTGCAGTGCAATGCCACGTTGTTTCGTGTTAGGTTAGGTTATGCAGTTATGCAGTTATACGCAGGCTCTTGCCATGTGCATGTTCAGCAGAACTCAGCGGTAGTGCTTAGGCCTGGCTCTGGGAGCAGCAGCGGCTGCTGGCCGCAGCGCACGTGCCTCCGCCATGGCACGGCGTTCGCACGCAGCGCCTGGTCGCAAGTGAACCGCAAATCCGTGAGACTGTATGGTCTGTGGCTTGGAGCGTTTCCGTGCAGCAAAGGTGAAAATCTACGACACTTGCATCGGCTGCACTCTGTGCGTGCGTGCATGCCCCACAGATGTCCTGGAGATGGTCCCGGCCACTATCAACGCAGCCAAGCAGGTGGCTTCGTCCCCGCGAGTGGAGGCTGGAAAAGGGCGCCTGGGTCGGAACAAGTCCGCGAATGTGATGCTGAGCGGTCAGGATTGCGTTGGCTGCAAACGCTGCGAGACGGCCTGCCCCACCGACTTCCTGAGCATTCGTGTCTACCTTCAGGAGTGAAGCGTGCATGGGGCCTTCAGGGTGCTGCAAAGGATTGCGTGGCAGCTCCATGTTCCGGGATGCTGCAGTTGCTGCAGCTTTGTATGTTCAAAGCAGGCGGTGCTCGGTTCACATGTCCTATGTCTCTCTTCAGTCTTGATCTGCCCTGCTTTAACTCCTCCCCGGTCTGCGGTTTTGAGTTGAAGACGGTGGAAAAGCACTCGATTCTCCGGCTTGGACGGTTGTCGGCTCCCAGGACAACGAGGAGACCCAGTACAGCTTGGGCCTGGATCTGGTGGACTGGCTCCTCGGCCTGGAACCACTTGTGGGCATCCTCAATCGGATTTTGAAGTCCATGCAGCAGTCGAGTCCCTTGTGAAAAAATGGCAGAACGTGCGAGCATGGCTGAGGTCGTAAGAAGCCCTCTGAGAGCGTAGGGACCTGGAGCACGTCTCACGTAAAACCCAGGAGCCTCAAGTACTTTACTGAAGCAAGTGCCAGCAGCCAGCTTAGAGCACTCCAGACAACTCCCTTGCTACCAGATCCTGCGGCAAGAGGCCTTGCCACTCTTTTTAAAGCGAGCGCTGAGGGCCCAGAGCGAAGCGCGCCCAAATCTGTCTTCTTGTTAGGGAACCCGGCATACATTGCCGCAAAAGAATATTCATGTAGACTTTTTACGGGTTTCTTATCACGAGTACCAAATCTGGGTTCTTGCTCCGAACTCGGTTTAACTTACCTTGATAGGCTTTGCCTGTGGACTGTATGGTTTTCTTATTATTGCAAAGTCTAGGCGGAATGCTTATGACAGGCGATGGATTCTGTGAGTTTGAGTTAGTTTTACTTATCGAGTCTCTGGGCCCGGCTGGGAGGGTTCGGGGGATGCCAGTCTTGCGGGAGGAAAAAGTCAGAGCTGCCAGAAGCTTTGCCAGCTTCCATGTTGTATCATTCTCGCTGTTGAAGCTGGGACCTCGAGCACACTGCATATGCGATTTCCTGGGGGCTTCCTTTTTTTGGCAGATGAAAGGAAGTGTGGCGAAGCCGCAGTGGCCCGGTACAGGCCCGGGGGGGAGCTGACGGCCCCTGAAGCGATTCAGGAGAGGAGACAGGTTTAGGGTTTAGGGTTTAGGGTTCAGGGTTTAGGGTTTAGGCTGTGGCCGGGCGAGCTCAGTTCAAGCCTGTGGAAAAGGGTTTCAGCCTGAGTTTGAGCCCGTTTGCAGGCGCTGCTTGCCAGCGACCCGAGTGATGTCGACGCAGCGGTTCTCTGCGAAGGCATCGGCAAGGACGAGGCCCCACACTTTGAACCAGCAGGGGCTCGGGTTGATTCTTCGGAGAGCGACGCTCGAAATTGTCTATGGCAGACCTTGCGCTGGGGCTCAACCTTTCTCGATGTTTTGATGTCCAATGAGTCTCGAAACACTTCGCCCGGCATCACACAGAGGGACAAAGCACAGAAATGAGGCTTCGAGACCTTTGGAAGGAGTGACGGCTGAATCATAAGCAGTGACATTTTCTCGCGGGAAGAGAGGATGCACGGTCCTAGCACGAAGACGGGTGCGTAGCACAAAGATCATTGCATAAACAGAGTAGGAGACGATGAACAACCTCAGAGACGACATGCCGAGCAGTACAAATCTGCTTCAAAGCCCGGTGAGGCGTTTAGAGTTTAGAGTTTCTGCCAAGTCGGCAATTAATAGCTAGATTCAGCTAGATAGAGCCAAGTAGTCCTGGAGCATTCTGAACTTCTATCTGCCTTAAAACGTAGCAGGACGAATAGTAATTGGCATAGCAGCATTCCGGCACAGACAGCCAGTGATGAATACATTAGCATATATATATATATGTACATACATATATGTTTCTATGTGTATATTTAACTTTCATTGTCATAGTGATAATAAAAAGTTTAGAGAATGTACAATAAATATCGGCAGGTCGATGCAAGAATATATGCAAAACTTGCCGAGCACCAACATGTAGCACAGCAAGAACCCAGAAGCGTGCCGAAATCACACCAGAAAACACTCGGCGAAACTTCAGTCGATTTGGCTTCTGACGATGATGCGGCTATGGCCTGTCACAGCAAATGCAACACCTCTTTGTTTCTGCGCTTTCGACCCATGTTGCACTGACCAATGGACTGTGAGCGAAGCAAGACAATCCCTGCAAGTTGTCCTCCGTGGCGCAGAGGTCGCAGCTTTCTGGTCTGAGTTTATCCCTAGCGTGCAGCGAGCACGCGGAGACTGGGCCAGTCTTCCTTCACGAGCACGGGAGGTGGCCGACGCCTGGCCATAACAGTACCTCCTGTGCGACAAGGACTATGCTTGCAAGAGTGTGTCGGTGCCACGAGACACCCCGTGCGCGTAAAGATATATAGTGATTTCCTAGTCGGATGTTGGCTCACTACTGGAGTGCAGTATGCTAGACGCATCATGGCCTTGCCTAGCACTCCCGAGCTAGGAAGGAGGCATTCAAAACTATAAAGATTTTCAAAAAGCTAAAAGTCTCAAGCAAATCTTTGGACATTCGTAAGTTCACTGTTTGGATGATGCTTTTTCGATTCGGGCTCTGCATAAGGACGGAACAAGCAATGCATCAGTCCGGCCGAAATTCGATCCAAAACTCATTGACCTTTTCAGAAATTTGGTATGCAAAAATCCCCGTTGCCATCCGCACACCTGCTACAGTGTCAGCATCATCATCGTTCGTGCCAGGTCGTATCCACGTCGCCAAAAGATGAACTCGGTTCAGGGATCCTCCGTCCCAGAGTCCAAGATAAATAGCTAGTGCTAGAAAGAAGTATAGACAAGGAAAGGTTGGCAGATGAATATAAGAGTACTAAAGCAGCATGCAAACCATATGCGCAGTTAAGTTGAAAAGACGTATGTGCACACAGACACACACACACACAGATATACATATATATATATATTATATATACACGTACATAGGCGCTGACAGATGCCTGAGTCCGTGTGTGAGAGAGAGATAGACACACATGCCCATACGTGTATACAGTGTATACAAAAACTACATAACAACAACCATACAAACAAATAGGTAGACCTAAAAAATAAACACATGCATATATGATATATATGTATGTATGTATGTATGTCTGTCTGTCTGTCAGTCTGTCTGTCTGTCTGTCTGTCTGTATGTATGTATGTATGTATGTAAGATATGTGTGTATATATACACATACAAGCAAAAGCTATACATATATATATATATATATATGTGTGTGTGTGTATGTGTGTGTGTGTGCGATGTGTGTGTATATATTTACATACATACATGCATGTTTACACGCAATGTGTCGATATATATATATATACACACACATGTGCAAACGTACATGTGCACATACATGCGTACATATATACATACCTACATAGCTACATGCACAAACACACGCACACATGCACACATACATACATGAATACATACATACATACATACATACATACCTACATACCTACGTAGTTACGTACATATATACATATATACATGCATACATATGTATTCATGTATATATATATACATATATATATATATGTATATGCATATTTATATGCATATTTTTTCTATATACATGTATATATATAGATATATGCATATACATGTATATATATATATATGCCTACATGTGTATGTATATATATATATATGTGAATATATATATATATATATGTGCCTACATGTGTGTGTATATATATATATGTGAATATATATATATATATGCAGGTATATATTTATATATGTGTATATATACATACAAGTATAGGTGCACATACGCATATACATACGCATACACACACCCATAAACATGCACATGCATACATGCATGCATTCATGCACATACATACATACATACATACAGACAGACAGACAGACAGGGATACATGCATTTTGGAACAAGGGAGACCACTTCTTGTCCGAAACATCAGGATGTACTGTTGTCATGTTGGCAGGTTGTAAGAGTCCGTCGAGTTCAAGCCACTGACAAGGGACTTAACGAAAGTCAAACAACACCATCACTCCAGAAACAATCGAGCTTTCCTGTGTCGCTCTTAATTGGGAAGGGATCAAGGGTTCCTTACAACCGGTGCGGACGCAGAACCAGCTTCTGGTTTGGGTTTTGGATGGTTTACATATACCGCAAACACGCACAAGAATCAGAGGTCAGTATATTGGAAGCGCAGAAACCGGCGTAAATACCGATGGTTTCTGGACCTTGGAGAGACAAAATACTGTAGACGAACAGTTGGCAAGAATGCTGGGGTGGATCATTTGGGGGGGAGGGGGTTGGGAGTGGGGTGAACATATATGTACACATTTTTTATGTATGTGTATATATATATACATACATGCAGCATCGCTGCCACCAGTGCCTTATTGCCCAGAATTGGTATGTTGTTCGCATGAAAAGCTCAGTAAGTGGATTCCTCGTTGCTTCCCGTTGAAACGCTTCGAAAGAACCAGGACCATAGGAGCAGAGAGGTGGTAAAGAAAAGCATGCACCTTGTGAACACAACACATACATCTGAGCGATGATTGACACGAGCTGTGCAATTTGTGGGCCTGGGCATCCTCCAGGGATGAAGCTACATAGCCAGCATGCAGAACATACTTCCATGATGCCTTACTCTGGATCGTTCGATAAACTAACGCAGAGTCTACGTCATTCGCGAGCTGCCTGGATTTTCAGCGTTTCTGAAGTTCAGGGCCCTACCTGCGAACCCAGGATATAAAGCCGTAAATTCCCTAAGCCCCGCCCCAAGCTCCAAGCTGACTGGCTGGGTTTTGCACAACCATAATCGAGAACTGCACTACTTGAACATCCCGCCTCACCCTCTTGAGGCCCTTGGCTTCCCTTACGTTCACAAGTTGAGAGACTGTATTTCTCGTCTCCTCCCTACCCGAAGATGCTCCCCACCTCCGTGTCCGACAAACAGGTGCATAAGCTTGGCACGTGGTGTGTGTCATGCGAGGGTGTTGGGAACATGAAGATGTTC